CCTCCCACCATGGCCTCCCAAAGAGCTGGGATTACAGGCATGAGACACCTTGTCCAGGTAAAAGTTCCACAGATATTCTAACTATTCCTATTAACTCCAACCCAAAGTATAAAGCCAAAAACATTTTATAGTTAAGGTCTTGCTTAAAACTACCTCATTAATGTAAACTGAACCACAAACTAGAGTTGTCAATTCCAATTAGTAATCTTCAGTTTTCTATTTTCAGTGAAAACTCATTTTCTAAAGTACTAACTCAAGGATTCTCAAACTGTAAAACAAACTTCCAGGATGGTTTCTGAAAGGCAGATTATCCAAATCCCAACTACACAGATTGGTTAGTTGGGTGTTGGGGCTAAGAAATTACATCCCAGAATTTGTGTTCCCAAGAAACTGTTCTGGTGACTCTGAAAACAGTTTTTTGGGGGATGGATTTTGATAAATGCTGTTTTGTTTTGTTTTTTTAAATGCGGTTCTTAAGGTTAGTTTCCCAAAAGCCTGCAAGAGGTTCAGTTACATATTTTATGAAAATTATGTTTTCTTAGTTTTTCCTTTTGGATATCAAATGTAATTTGGAGGAGATACTAAAAACAAACTTTTGTATTATCTCTGACCTTAAATACATGTTATTACTATGTCAATCTCCTAATTATATAATTAAATGTACTCAAAGCCAAATTATAATTCAAAATTCTCAAAATCTTGCCCACCAGCTGCAGGATTAACCTGATCTTCAGTAACTCAGTCATTCCAGGTCCAAACAGGGCCCACTTAACATGTCATATGGAGCTAAAGAAATAAAACACTCAGTGGTTGTCAACCTTCCTAATTGCTGCATTGTTACAAATGGAAAAAAGGGGTCACAACCCACAGGTTAGGAACCACTTGCTCTAATGCTTTAAAGGAAAAAAGGGGTCACAACCCACAGGTTAGGAACCACTTGCTCTAATGCTTTAAAGGAACCACTTGCTCTAACCACACTGATCCTTAACTAAAGTTGCCTAGTTTTTATATAGGTCAGGAACAATGTTTTGATACAAGGGTGTCCAACTTGTGGTGTGCAGGCCATATGCTAATTTGGCAAGTTTTTTTTTTTTTTTTTGCTTATCTATGGTGTCAGATACTATGAAAGGTATGCACAACTTTTTTTTTTTTTTTTGCTAACTAGCTTTCATTAGTGTTTGTGTATTTAATGTGCAGCTCAAGACAAGACAATGCTTATTCTTTGAATGCACAGCAGAGAAAAAAAGGCTGGACACACCTGGTATTGAACATGAAATGAAGAGTCCTATGGTCTAGAAAAGTTCAGAATCCAATGAGGGAATTTTTTTTTTTTCTTGAGACAGAGCCTCAAGCTGTACCCTTGGGCAGAGTGCTCTGGCATCACAGCTCACAACAACCTCCAACTCCTGGGCTCAAGCGAGTCTTCTGCCTCCGCCTCCCAAGTAGCTGGGACCACAGGCGCCCACCACAACGCCTGGCTATTTTTTGGTTGCAGCCACCATTGTTGTTTGGCAGGCCCAGGGGGGATTCGAACCCACCACCTTACGTGTATGTGGCTGGCGCCTTAGCCACTTGAGCCACAGACACCGAGCCCGGAATTATTTTCTTAACATAAAATTGTTCTGGCAGATCTATGATTTCCTTCTTAAAGTGACAGAATAAAGAATGAAAATATCCATCCCTATAAATATTCATATCTGGTGGTAATAAAACCACCAATCAAAAAGTAGCAGGTATTATATTATTAGCCATCAGCATACTTCATATTTCCCTAACATTCTGCTGCTTCAGTCAGTGGCCTTACCTGGATCCTTTCAATTATAAACTTCTCATTAATGAGGATAACAAAGAAGATAATTTCGTTGGCCACTGCCCTTTTAACTTCTATATAGTTTAACTCAGCTTAAGAAAATAATCTAGACAAGGGTATACTGTCATTCACAGGACAAACATTTTGGCCCAAAAAAGCTGACATGGACCTTTAAAAGTACTTGTCTCAAAGACACATGATTACTGTTAATAAACTACAAGGTAGCGAGAGCAAACAGCACACTAGAAAGCATAGTCAGTTCTAAGGAACACTATTACCTCAAGATGTTCATGGGAGGATAGTAGAAAAAAGGCATAATGGCATCTTCCTCTCCTGGACATTTACATTGCATATGTCTAGCATGTATGTGGAAACATCCAGAGTAAAGACACCATGGTACTTCAACATCGCCCAACTTTACTTGGCAAATGTCGAGGTACACAAGATCTTTATCGCCAATAACATCCTGAATATGTTCTCCTGAATATGTGATCTTAGGCATATTTCAGCTACTGTTTCTCTATACCATGTATGCATTAAAGATATATTTTATCTATCTCACAGGATGTTTGGCAGGATCAAATGCATCAGTATTTACTACATGCGAGCCGTACGTCATCATTACTACTAAGAGTAGCAGAGGGTTTAGGTGGGGAGTCAAAAACAAGAGAACAAGGCACAATGAAGATAAGAAAAAATTAAATAGTATATTTCCTCTGAAGATTTTCTGTTCCCTAAAAGCACAACTAAATTCCATTAATTCTCACAGTAGTAAAAAAAAAAAAAAAAAACTATACAATGGCACTGCCATCTGCAGGCCAAAGACATGGATTGCTTGCAATGGTTATTTAAAATGAAGTCTCAAACCATCAAACCTTCCTCATCAGACATCTAGTCTTTGCAAAAGATGTTTATTCTTAGCTTTTGAGCACTGGTAGATGAGGCTCCATTTCCTAAAGTTCTAGAATTGACTCCTGGGTAAAATCTAACACTTAATTATACTCTAAACAGGACTGCTGCTAGCAAATTTGAAGAAAATGATCTTGGCTTTAAAAAGATCCTACACTGTGATCATACCAAGGTAACCCCAAAGAGATATGGATTTTTAAATACAGGAGGATTTTTTTTTTTTTTACAGTCTTTTTTTTTTTTTTTTTGAGACAGAGCCTCAAGCTGTCCCCCTGGGCAGAGTGCCGTGGCATTACAGCTCACAGCAACCTCCAACTCCTGGGCTCAAGCGAGTCTCCTGCCTCCGCCTCCCAAGTAGCTGGGACCACAGGCGCCCGCCACAACGCCCGGCTATTTTTTGGTTGCAGCCATCATTGTTGTTTGGCGGGTCCGGGCTGGGGATTCGAACCCGCCACCTTAGGTGTACGTGGCTGGCACCTTAGCCGGTTGAGCTATAGGCGCCGAGCCTTTTTTTTTTTTACAGTCTTTGGGAAGTATTAGGGGAACTTGAATGGCCTAAGCTGCCTTTTCTAAGTTTTCTTTCAATGACTTAAATCAAATCTGCTCTTAATGCACATAAAGAGGTTATGAACAAACTATTAACTTACAAATAAGTTAACACTTCCTTTAAATATGTGGTGTCCATAGGCACCCAACACTGAGCAACCCAAACCCAGCAAAACTCCTTCCACTGAGCCTTGCAATACCCACTCTCTAGTGTAATCTACAACCAAATCAACGTTTCTATGTCAATTTTTAGGTTAAGAGAATGGGTCAGAAGTTTCAAAGAACAGCTGGAGGGTGACAGAAGAGCTAAAGGGAAGGCAAACCAGAATAAAGGAAAAAAAATCATGTTAACAAATAGCCAAGTGTTTTCTAATATCTACAATACAAAACTAGGGCTTTACTGGTTCCAAGAAGTCCACACAAAGTTAGTTTTCACACCCAGATTGACTCATACAGAAAACATTAACTCTACAGTTGTCAAAACCCCAAAAAGCTCCACCAGTGTTTACAGAAACATCTTTTTATGAGCTGTCAGGTGGCTACCAGAACACAAAGTTGTAAGAAAAACTGAAGAGGCACACCAGGGGCACTCTGTTTCTGTAGTTCACAACAGTCTACAACGAGAAAGCCTATAATATTATCATCCCTGAGGTCCCAGGGCATTTCATAAAATCTGCTAAGCCTCGGGGAAGAATTCTGTGCAGAGTGACAGCTAGAAGGACCACAGTTAACCCCGTACTCCTTAGGGCAGCGTTTCCCAAAGTATGGAACACAGAATAATTTCAGGAGGAACAAGGACGCACTGTTTATTTTAGTAGACAGTTATTTATTTATTTTTTTTAACAAGCATTAGGAAAATAACTGGCTTTCCATTATCCGGTTTGTGATTGAGGTTTCCACCTTAAACAAATATATTTAAGAAGGATAAAAAAGAGTCAGTTTAAATAAAGCAAATTAACATTTGGCAAATAGCAGTACAGATGGTACGCGAACATAAAAGTGCAACGAGACTGAAACCCGGGGGACGCCGTCCTAAGCAAAGCCCCTTATGCGTTGTCGAGAGGGGAAAGTGCCCAGCCTTGGGGGACTGGAAAGCCAGCAGGTTCGGACGCTGACTCTGCCGCTAATTTCCGGGACACGGTTTCTCTCCCCTTTCTCTGGCCCTGGGGTTCGCGTTTATAAAATGGGTGGGGTGTCACAAGACAAGGAGACGCCTCGAGGATGCGGTCGGGGGCCGTGAGACAGCGGCGGCGGGGGACAGGTCTCTGGAAGCCGCACGGCGCTGCACGCCCGCCTAGACAGGCCGTCTCGGGCCGGGTTCGAATCCCGACTGCGCCATCGACTTGCTGAGGACCCGCAGGCGAGCGAATCCACCGTTTCGAGAAGGGAGAACGGAGTGCGCGACCCTACCCTACTGAGAAACCTCGAAGCCTCTTATCGACGGTTCGGGCACAGACAGTCGGCTGCGTTGTGGCGCCACAGACCTCAGTCCACTACAGACCGCCTCGGCGCCGGGGCCTGGGCTTGGGCCTGGGCCTAACGGGAGCCTGAGGCGGCCGCGCCCGGCACCGGGCATGCGCAGCCCCGCGCGCACCCAGAGCGGAGCGGAGGCCGCGGCCGCGCGTCGAGCGGGCCCTCCCGTCTCAGCCTCCCCGTCCGGCCCGGCCCCCCCCCTTCAACTGCCTGCTAGTCAGCCCCACGCCTCGGCGGACGGCCACCGCTTCCCGGCACTCACCGCTACCAGCGTGGCGGGCTCTCGGTCGCTCCTACGCCCCAGGCCCCCCGCTGCCGCCTCCGCGTCAGCCCACCTGCCCGCCGTAGGACAAAGGCGCCACCAACCGACCGGCGCGGGCACGAGGCAATGGCGGCCAGGCGGAGAGTGGAGATGGGGCAGAGGGCGCGCACGCAGCGGCAGGCGCGGCAGTGTCGCAATGGCGCGCGGATTTACGGCAGGGTTGAGTTGGGGGCGTCGATCTCCTTGGCAATGAGGACGGGAAAGTGGCTCTCTGGAGGCTACTGAGAACGCCAGCGGTTGCCTAGTAACAGCGTCCCCGGCTGGGGTTGGGCCCCAAGCCTGGTCCCCTCCTCCCCAGAGCACGTCAGTCAAGTCTCTCCTGTTTTCCGAGAGCATTCCCTCTTCCCTAAAGTGGAAATAGAACATTTAAATCCCCAAGTACTTTGATTTAGTCTTAAATAAAACAAAAACAAAAGCCAAACCCCACAAACACCTATAGATGTGTGTACTGGAGAACAATATATACAGTCCTGGATCCTCTGATCACAAAGAACAAAGAGAGCAAAAAGGTGGAGAAAATGTTCTATTTAAATTTACATTTAAATAGGCTGTGTACTCTATTAGTTTCACTGACAAGAGGCAAAAAGCGTCTGGTTATATAGTCAGAGGTCCTCCCTAGTTATTTATTTCATCCTAGAATATTCATTCAATGTCAAAAACAAATTTCCCAGAATGTAAGTGTCGACCGCGAAGCATGTAAAATGTTGTATTGTTCCTTTACTCTATAGAATATGTTTGTCAAAGGGAATGGAATTTACTCACGCAATTGTAAATAAACTCTATTAATCATAGCCATAGCTATATGAATATGGTACTCTTTTGTTAGGAAAATGCTCAGATCCTGTGGGGTCTATTTTTCTCCTTGTGAATAGTGTGTGCTAAATAAAAATGGTGGCTGTGGAATTTAAACAGTACGAGAAGCCAGGTTCCTTGCATACCTGCCCATATGCTCACTCCAGTCATTTATTCACTGAATGTTTATTACATACCTACCACTTGGCCCTAAGACTTGTTATATATACCTACTTGCTAGGCACTATGATGCAGAACTATCTCTGCTATCTTGACAGTATAGTCTAGTGGAAAGATAGAATTAGGCAAGTAATCACACTTGGGTGTATAACTGCAAACTGAGATATACCATATTTTGCCATGTATAATGAGCTTCCATGGAATATGTACCCATGTTTTTGGCCTAAACTTTCGGGAAAATACCCCTGGAGAAAGTGACTGGCTCACCCTTGGGTTAACCCTCTCCTGGTAAATGCACTGCCCTCCTGAAGCTGCCTACTCTGTGAAAGCTGCTCCTTCCCTCTCTCTTGGGAGCCCTTTCCTCCCTGCCACATCTGGCCCACAGCTGAGAAATGGCCACACACATAGTCAGCAGGGGAGAAGCTTCTGAGGTTGACCTTGCACAGCTGTGACACTGCCACCCTCTAGTCCTGCCACCATGCCTTTCCCTGATTGAGCTGCATTGTGGAGGCTGCTCCAGCCTACTCCTGGTGGATCCTGGATCCTTCCAGACTGGAACCTTGGATGCCCAGCAGGTCCAGGCGGGAGTGTACGTTGGCCCCAGGAGGCCGGCTGAGCTCACCCACAACCCCCAGGTCTACTACCCATGTATAATGTGCATCCTTAATTTCACCCCTCAAATTTGGGCCAAAATGGCTTGGCCCTGTAGCTCAGTGGCTAAGGGCACCAGCCACATACACTGGAGCTGGCAGGTTTGAATCCAGCCCGGGCCTGCCAAACAACAATGACAACTACAACAAAAAAATAGCCAGGAGTTGTGGCCGGACACCTGTAGTTCCAGCTACTTGGGAGGCTGAGGCAAGAGAATAGCTTAAGCCCAAGCCTTGGAGGTTGCTGTGAGCTGTAACGCCACAGCACTCTACCCAGGGCAACATAGTAAGACTCTGTCTTAAAAAAAAAAATCGGGGGGCCAAAAAAGTGCACATTATACATGGCAAACTACGGTATGCTGTGATGGAAAAAAATAGGAATTCTCAGAGGATGTAACTGGAACTTTAGCTTTACTCAAAGGCAAAATGGTTATTAAAATTCCTTCTTTATAAGATTGTATGTAATTAGAGATAAAGGCACAAAATCTTTCAAACAATGGATATCCCACCAATGTTCATTGTTATTACTTCTCCTTTAATATAAGTCCTAAAAGTCTCTGAAGAACCACAAGCAAATTACAATTATTAACTGGCCTCAGTTAACACATCTGTAAAATAGGAATATATATATATGTATATACATATATAATATGTATTACAATGATATCATATTATAATGTACACATTATAACATGTAAAATGCGCACCCTGAAAATTTAAGAGGAATCATGCTAATTAGGTTATTGAGATAACCAAGCATAAGGCAAAGTGTTGTTGCTTTTAGGGGTGTATTGCAGTCCCTTAATACTGCCCTCAGGTTGGGTAGTGGACTTAAGCTAAAGAAAGTATTCATTGATTCATTTAGTAACCATTTAACGAGAATTTGCTATGTGCTTGGTTTTGTGGACAGTGGAGAATAAGATAGACAAGTTCGACCTGGGCCTGTAATCCTAGCATTCTGGGAGGCGGAGGCAAGTAAATTATGGAGCTCAGGAGTTCAATACCAGCCTGAGCAAGAGCAAGACCCTGTCTCTAAAAAAATAGCCAGGCGTTTTGGCAGGGAACCTGTAGTTCTAGCTACTTGGGAGACTGAGGCAAGAGAATTGCTTGAACCGAAGAGTACGAGCTATGATGCCATGGCACTCTACCAAGAGTGACAAAATGAGACTCTGTTTTTTTAAAAAAGAAAGAAAGACAAGATCTTTTTCTTCTGTGAGCTCATAGCCTGTTTTAGGGAGTACAAGCAATAAGCAAATTAAGTATAATAATATATTAACTTTTCTTTGAGACAGAGCCTCAAGCTGTCACCTTGGGTAGAGTGCCATGGCATCACAACTCACAGCAACCTCCAACTCCTGGGCTTAAGCAATTCTCCTGTCTCTGCCTCCCAAGTAGCTGGGACTACAGGCACCCACCACAATACCCGGCTATTTTTTTGTTGCAGCCATCATTGTTGTTTGGCGGGCCCGGGCTGGATTTGAATCTGCCAGCTCAGGTGTATGTAGCTGGTGCCTTAGCTGGTTGAGCCACAGGCTCTGAGCCTAAGTATAATAATATAATGTATGATGAGTGTTTATGATAAAGAAGCAAGTTAATTCCATAGGGAGAGATTCTTATATGGAGGCAAGTGCTCAGACCTCGATGTCTTCCAATTTAGATATTTGACTTACTTGATAGGTAATGTCTATTGTGTGCCTACCATGTGCAAATCCCTTGTGATATTATCTCATTTAATTGGCACAACAGCCTTATAATATATATATTACATATATATTCCTATTATACAGATGTGTCAACAGAGGCCAGTTAATAATTGTAATTTGCTTGTGGTGCTACAGAGAGTATGTGCCATTTCCAGACTCAAATCCGTGTAGCCTGGTGCACAGACATGCTATTTGAACAAGCAGCGATGCTGTCCTCTGAGATAAGGAGTTCTCTTCCAAGTCAGAGGGTACCTGACTGGCGTATAGCTTCTAACACTTTGCCCCAAAGTTTGACAAATGAATTAAACTGAGAGTCTGCTACAGTGGAAGCTACCTGATTTCTGTCAGATGGGTCACTGGGTTTTACAATTTTGTGTAAACCGGGTTATCCTTTGATGTCCAGCCAGTGCAAAGAAAGATTGCGTTTCCTAGAATGTCTGAGGATTTTGCCTTGTGATTTATAAGACGGCCATGTTAGAGCAATGAGTGATTATACTCAAACGGGTAAGCTCTGTGGAGGGAGCAGCACTTTCCACTCAGGAAATATTTTGGAGGGTGAAAAAAAAGTAAGGAAGAAAGAAAGAAAATCAATACCATAGTGGAGGAATAGCTTTAGCTATTAATTTGATTTTAGTTTAATCTGGTATTTTTCTTATTATTTTAGCCCTTTTGTATAGGGCGAAAGTAGCCACTTCTAGAGTAATGTGAGTGGTGATTAAAAAATATATAAGCGATGGGCTCAGGAATATTCAGGGGAGGGAGGACAACAGGGTCTCTGATAAAGGAAATTAGTAAGTTCTTTAAAAGACAAGACTAAAGAAGGAGGCCTTCTAAAGACAAGATTATGAGGAAAATCAGAAAAGAAAGCAATCTTGGGTAAAATCCTTCCATTTGAACAAAATTCAGGGCATGATATAACCTCTTAAAATTTCACTTTTGAATTGGTGATGGCGAGGTGGCATAAAGACCTATATTCTAAATGTCAATAGCACTAAGATATAGCCTGAAGGTTTGCAAAAATACTTTTAGGACTATTTTGCATATCATCTGATACAACTTTGGAGAGGTGAAACCTAGTATCTTTTTTTTTTTTTTTGAGACAGAGCCTCAAGCTGTCACCCTGGGTAGAGTGCTGTGGCATCACAGCTCACAGCAACCTCCAACTCCTGGGCTCAAGCAAGTCTCCTGCCTCTGCCTCCCAAGTAGCGGGGACTACCTGCCACAATGCCTGGCTATTTTTTGGTTGCAGCCATCATTGTTGTTTGGTGGGCCTGGGCTGGAGTTGAACCCACCAGCTCAGATGTATGTGGCTGGCGCCTTAGCTGCTTGAGCCACAGGTGCTGAGCCGAGAAATCTAGTATTTAAGTGTGAAAGTTTTGGTCAAATTAAACCCATGATGGTAGAGATCAGAATAGAGGCTAACGCTGGGAAAGAGGGGCACAGACTGGGATGGCTCTTGAAAGAACTTTCTGGGGAGACAGGAATATTCTATATCTTGATCCCACGGTGGTTACGTGGAATCTATACATAGGCAAACATTCACAAAGTTGTGTCTTTAATATTGTATATTTTGCTGTAAGGTATACATCAACAAAAATTAAAAAATTTAAACTTTAGGAAAAAAAGAGTGAAGTTTTGAAATAAAATTATTTGGGTTCAAATCTTGGCTCTGTCTTCAATAGTCATGTGAATTTTTTTTCATGCATTTAATATTTCCCACGTACCTACTAAAGTTTATTG